CGACCGCTACGCGGTCTCGTGATTTTATTGAGCCTAGTTTAACCGATTAAATTCATAGTTCTCGTGATATAATATATGAATATTTGCGGATGCAAAGAATAATAATACTAGGTTTAAACAATTCCTAATAATTTTGGTAGAATAAAATGATCCATGGTGAAACCTTTCACCTACACAAATATTATCGCCATGAGCTGTTTGGACAACCTTATTGGTAAATATATAAAAATATAAAAAGTTTTTAAATACGAGTTTTGTATGTACCTATACCGAAACAATCTCTAACAAATCTTCCCGACGACGCACTGTACTTCGAATGTCCTGAAAAGTCTGCTACAAATTATTTAAAATAGTATATTCTGTAACAAGTTTGGAATTCAGCATATTCCGCTCGAGTGAAGAGTTTGTCACACGAGCCGAAGGCGAGTTTGACGGTTTCACGAAAGCGGAATATGCAATCCAAACGTGTTTCAGACTATACTTTTTCTACGTTTCCAAAAAATACCATAGAAAAATAATTTAATTGGAAGAAAGTGAGGTTGGATCGGTCTAAAATTTGTTAGATATTAAAAACAGAGATGTCGCCACGAGTGTTTATTCTGTCATCAGATGATAGAATATTTCATTCTGTAACACTTTACGGAATTTATGTCATTCCATAGATAAAAGTGATATTAGAAGGGTCCGTAATAGGAGTAGAAAAATTAGTTTATATACATATTTAAGTATAGGAAGATCGAACCTGATGGCAAAATTTTTAAAAATGTAAATTTTCTAATAAATTTTAGCCTCTTTTTTTGATACAGGAGTCTGAGTCGAGAGTCACGAAAGTATTCGGCCCCTCTTCATTCTTGGCCAATAATATGTCTTCAGCATGGCGACTTTTTTCCAACGCCTTTGCAGGTCAAGCACCAGTTTACGAATTTTTAGCTTCGTACAGAATAAATGGATTATGCAGCTTGTCGGACATAATATTCAGTGGCGGATTTACCAGCAGGCTGAGTAGGCTCGAGCCTAGGGCGGCAGATTTTGGGGGCGGCAAATTTGGAGAACGATTTTTTTTTACCTCATAGAAATCAAAAAGATTTTTCTATGACGGTTTTCTGATGTCTTACAGATAGAAGTCTGCAACAAATTTTGTCGATGACTTTCCTCTCTCACTTGTCATTGCACATTCCGAGAGTAGCAAACTTCCATATTCTAGAGTAAAACAGCTAGTTCGCCGCCCCTCAACAAGTAATCGGCATCTCGCCTCTGCGCCCTTTGCCCACACTTCTTATGAGTGAAAAGAGCGAAATTGTAAAAAATATGCCCCCCTTCCCACTAACAACCCATACATGCCAGTCTTACTACTGGTTGGAGGCTACGAACTGGATGGTTTGTATATAATTTTTCGATTTTTATTCGAATATAATGAATAATTTAGTGAATAATTTTACCGATTTCAATTTTATGTATCGACTATTATGTGTTTCACATGCACTAGTAGCTTCAGAAAATTCGATTGGAATTCAAAAAAAATAGCGATATAGTCTTAAGTCAAAAAAATATTTTTTTCCCGAACGCGGTATTTTTTTAACTGTTTAAAAGCGCAATAAAGATTATTTATTCACGTTTACCAAAGTTCATTATTGTGTAAATAGCATACATTACCCCGCCCATGCATGATTGAGCTTTGATTAGCTCAAAAATATACCGAAAAATTATTTTACGTGCAATTTCAACGAAATTGTTGCATTGTAAAAATAATGTATGATATGACAATTGTTGAGGCAAGGGCGGCAAAAACTATTCAGCCTATAACTTGAAAATTTGTAAATCCGCCACTGATAATATTCATTATAGTTGCAGCTTATATGGCCTCTGGAATGAAAAAATGTCTAGTCTTGTTAATCTTAGCCCATTTGGCTCATCTTCGCTATTCATTTTCGTTATCATTATCTCCATCTCCATCAACAAAAGCAATCTCTTGATTAACGTTCATCATACTCTTTAGAAAGATTAATTAATGCTTTTCAAAACTAGCTTACTAGTTTTTACTGAGTTTTTTAAAAGTATGACAAGGGGAAATTTCGAAAACGGTTTAAACAAATTTTGTGAAATTTTGGTAAAATAATAAAAAGGTGGAGAACATAAAATATTTTTGACATCTAATCCCTTTCTCTATTTTGAGGGGTGGGGGGTAACTTTGGATTTTTAATAGGAATGATGTAGATAACACTGTGCGACAAATTTTGACCTTACAATTTGAACTGGGATGAAATGTGGAAAAATCGAATCTATGCAACCCCCAAAACTAATCTTTAAAGGGGTTTTGCTAGTTTAGCTCAAATAATGGAGATATACAGGGTGTTTCTTTTAACTTGAGACAGCTCAATATCTCGAGAAATACGCATTTCACGGAAAAATGTCTTAAATAAAAGGTAAATGTGACCAAAGGGGACATTATTTGGTGCTACCGCTAGCCACCCCCTACCCCTCCTTAAGGGTGAAACGGGGGGTAACTTTGGAAAGTCAAATGGAATGACCCGATTTTCACAGAGTTTGGTAGTACATAAAAAAATGAATAACTTTTATTTTAAAGTTTTTTTCAATTTATCAACAGATGGCGCTGTAATTCAAAATTTAAGAAAAAGGGGTTTCCTTGTAAAATGTATTATTTGAAACGTTTGAAAAACAAAAATTAACATTAAATCAACATTTGTTATAAATTGTTTTCATAGCCGACTATTGTTGTCAATGTTAATTTTTGTTTTTCAAACGTTTCAAATAATACATTTTACAAGGAAACTCATTTTTCTTAAATTTTGAATTACAGCGCCATCTGTTGATAAATTGAAAAAAGTTTTAAATAAAAGTTATTTATTTTTTTATGTACTACCAAACTCTGTGAAAAAAATCGGGTCATTCCATTTGACTTTCCAAAGTTACCCCCCGTTTCACCCTTAAGGAGGGGTAGGGGGTGGCTAGCGGTAGCACCAAATAATGTCCCCTTTAGTCACATTAACCTTTTATTTAAGAAATTTTTCCGTGAAATGCGTATTTCTCGAGATATTGAGCTGTCTCAAAACAGAAAGAAACACCCTGTACATATATATATGTATATCTCCATTATTCGAGCTAAACTGGTAAAACCCCTTAAAGGATTTGTTTTGAGGGTTGCCTAGATTCGATTTTTTCAGATTTGATCCCAGTTCATTTTTTGTGTTGCACAGTGTAATTTAAAAAAAATCAAATTACAAAAAAAACTAGGTATTAGTGCAAACAAATTTTTGATTTGCTCTTTCGCTCACTGAATTATGATTTATTAGAAAAGATACCTACTAAAAATATTAAAAATTAAATTTAAACTAATGTATCGTCTGTCATGTCTTAGAAATTCTTCAAAATGTCACCCTTTAACTTCCAGACCCTTTCTCACTATTTTTCCAAAAAAATTTCGTAGATTTGATAAATAAATTAAAATTATTTTTTAGTATTTTATAATTTAATAAATCATAATTCCGTAAGCAAGAGCGCAAAACAATTTTTTTGAACACATACCTAGTTTTTACATATGTAGATTCGATTTACACATCATCCCTATTAAAAATACAAAGTTGCCCCCCGCCCCTCAAAATAGGAAAGGGGGTAGATATCAAAAAATATGTTTAAATATGTCCCCCCACCTCTCTATTAGTTTAACAAAATTTCACACAAACAATTTAAACCGTTTTTAAAATATCCCCTTGTAACACTTTAAAAAACTCACCCGGTATACATACATTTTTTCAAATATATAGTAGTTATACAATAGGTATACAATAGTATAAATAGGAAAAGGGGTAGATGTTAAAAATATGTCCCCCACCACTCTATTAGTTTACCAAAATTTCACACAAACAATTTAAACCGTTTTCGAAATATCCCCTTGCAACACTTTAAAAAACTCACCAGGTATATATACATTTTTTCAAATATAAAGTAGGTATACAATTCATTTCCAACAGATGTTAATTAACATACCTACTAGATTTTTGTGTGTTTACATACCGCGCGAAGATTTTTATCAAAATTAAATTAATAAAGAATTAATTGAAAATCAATAAAAATACATTTTATCATCAAATTATATTAAATAAACTATTTTTTTAATAATATAACACAATATTATAACACAATATCCTGTTGGATATAAATAAATATAAATAAATTTAAATTAATATAAATAAATTATAAAAAAAAATTTTGTGTAAATATTACGAAAATGGATACTTTCTTAAGTTAAATCATTTTTTGTATAAAAATAGCTACTATGCACTATTTAGTTATAAATTATAAAGAGTGTATAGTACCTATTTTTATACTACTGTCTCAAAGTAGGCATAATATATTATTTAGCGTAACTCGATAGGAATCCAGCATCTGCCTGCATCAAATTACTTTACAGTGGTAGTACCACTGTGTTACATTCGGTTGTGAGGGCTATCGTTTTATGTAATCTATGCTTTTTAAAACCTATTTTCTAAAATAAATTTTTCGTATTTTGGCAGACTAACGTTTACCGGCCCTTCTTGTACCTATTAATACTATAGTATTCATAAAAGACATTTTACTTTAAAGCCTTGCAAACATTATACCTTTATTATTTCATTATTAAATATTTTGGTTTTATTGATAGTGATTTATGACATGTATGCAAGTACGTAAGCAAACTTGAATAAGGATATGCCATTGAATTAATAAAGGACTGCAATTAAGTTTTAAATAAAAAAAATATTTAATTTGTTTATCAAAAGCAATTTATAGTCTTATGTAGCGCACGAGGAAATTTCTATAGGTATATTAAATTATTGTCAAGTGGAATAAATATGTTTTTGGGTCATTGTCATGAAGGTATTGAAATCTTAAATGCCTTTTAAAACATGTTTATTTAGACAATCTTTTATCTTATTTTGCATCAAATAATACTGGCAAAGTTATATTTTAAATAAATTAATCATCACAATTTTATGTTTTAGTACGATTTACACTGTGAAAACAATTTATGGAAACTAACATTGGTTGGAACCATAAACAACATTGGCCAGTTCTTTGGGCTTTTTATATCTGGCATGTTATCGGATAGGTAAGAATTTAAAAGTTGTTCAAAATTCCAGAGACAATTTATTGTTTATCGACTAAAATGTATTTGTTTGTGTTTTAGAAAAAAAATATTTTTATGTTTTCTTCTTAATGTACCATCATTTCTATGATAAAAGACCACGCAACCTATTCAATTTCTTATTGAAGTTTTAAAAGTGATTAGGGTCATATCGTATAGGGCAGGGGTCACCAAATGGCCGACCGCGGCCGCGGTCCGGATTCCTACGGCTGGCCAATGTACAATAACTCATGTCATCAGAACAGCTCATTTTTTTTCAAACTTGCTTGACTCCTTCGCTTTTTCTTATTCCACATCATATTATGATGATTTCTGTATAACGTATAAATCGCCTCTAGAATTTAAGAACAAGGTATTGATACCTTTTATAATTTATATACCTACTAATGTACTAATACTTTTAAATACAAATTTAGATTTGGAAGAAAACAAGTCCTGATTTGGGGCATGATAGGTTGTGCCACATGTGGTATAATCAGAGCTTTCATGCCGACATATGAATTGTTTTTGGTGTTCGAGTTTCTTGATGCAGCCTTTGGTGCTGGTACATACATTTGCGGCTTCGTTTTGGGTAAACTAATAAACTTTGTATTAAATATTTATCTAAAATAATTAACTTGTAGGTGTCGAGTTGGTTGGTCCTAAGAAAAGGGTTCTAACTGGAGTAATATCAAGTTCTTGTTATGCACTAGGCGAAATTTTTGCTGCGGGTGTTGCCTGGATTCTACAATCATGGAGGTAATAAACCTTTTATTTTTAAACTTTAAATTAAATAATTAAATTTTCGTTTGTAGACCAATTATATTTACCTTATACAGCCCAATATTCTTGATTATAACCTTTATATGGATAGTACCGGAATCAGTAAGATGGAGTTTAAGCAAAGGCAGAATAGAAGAGGCCAAGAAAACGTTAAGAAAAGTTGCCAAAGTTAATCACAAAGAACTTTCCGAAAACACATTGGATAAACTAAGTCTAATGATGCAAGATGAGCCAATAAAATCTAAAAACCCATTCAGAGAAGTACTGCAATCCACACCTATAATGCTTCGTTTAATTAATTGCTGCTTCTGCTGGATTACCTGTGCCTTTTTGTTTTATGGTTTAACTCTAAATTCTGTGGCACTGGCTGGAAACAGTTATTTGGATTTCATACTATCGGCTGTCGTTGAGATTCCAGCTTATATCAGTTGTAACTTTATTGTTGATAGGTGGGGAAGAAGGAAGACTTTAAGCTGGTCCTACATTTTAACTGGAGCCGCTTGCGCTGGGTTCATATTTATGCCTCCACGTAAGGAAAAAAATATTTTTAAAACATAAAATGGGGCAAAATCATTGAAATTGCTTACATATTTGAGTTTATAGTTAATCTGTCGGAAAAAATGCTAATTTCAAAAAAGACCGACCATAGTAATTTTTTGCTTGAAGCCTAACTTTGCGGAATTCTCCCCCGTGGAGTTGAAAACTCAAAAAGTTTTTGGAATTCATTTGTCTCGATGGATGCTTTACGGCGGTATAGCTAAGCAATTTTTTAACGCAGCACTGTAATTTAAAAATTGTTTACCTTAAAAAAAACAGGTTGTATGAAAAATTCTTAGCAAAAAATTCTTTTTTTGTTTAGTTATATCGTGCAGAATTTTTGAGTACTGTATTAAAATTGAACAAAGCTTAAAGTGTATGCATATGAAACCTAGAAAAGGTTAAGCCAATCATTAGAAAATTTAATATTGAAAAAAACATTGAAGTAACAATTAAACTAAAGAGTATTTTTATCTACAAGAGTTTTATTACATATTTAAAAAAAATCCTAGTCATACCCTTAGATCAATAAGAACCAGCACGTCCACCTAGAAACATGTTATCACGCGTGTGGACGCTCTTGTTAGTCGTGGAGTTTCAGACTCCAAGACTTATAGAAGCAGGGGAATTTTTGGAAATGCGACTTCCCGGGTAGTTAGATATGCCTTTACATATATGGATCGACTCAGAATCGAATTCTGAACAACTTTCATTTTTTCTGTTGTCTGTGTGTCTGGATGTCTGTGTGTCTGGATGTCTGTGAATCTGTCATCAAATTTTTAAAAATTCATAACTGGAAAACCTCAAACGGTGGAAACTTGAAATTTGGACCCTTTTTTAAACTCCACGAGGTGCACATCTCTTCCAAATTTGGTTAGCGCAAGAAGGGTCCAAGTGCACTTTTTATCGATTTTTTCGACGAAAGTTTGGGGTTTTTCCTATCCGGATTCCAGGTTCGAAGGGATCGACGTGGAAAGACCAAATTTGATGAAAAGGTGTACGACGACTATCTATTGAAGTGTATAGTATATGGGCTTTTCAGGCCTGCAACTTTCGAAAAAAAAAATTTTTTTCGACTTTTTCACGAATTTTTTGGAAATTTTTTTCTCGAAAACTAAGAAGACTTTAAGTAAACGAAAAACACGAATAGATGTGCAAAGGATTGTTATTTAACATACTAAAAAATAAAAATCATCGAAACAAACTAACATGGCCTACTGCTCAATTTATTTTTGTTGCTATTTTAAAAAATGCAGGCAATTTTTAATTAATTTTTTTATGCTGTTTCTATTTATATTTTTTTAAATTTAACCAAACATGAGGGTAAACCACATTCTTATAAATTGATTTGCCATAAAAAAATATTAAAATGTTTTCCTCTTCTTCTTCTGCGATTTATTTTACAAAATCATTAATATCTCTTGACCTATAATAGATGGCGACTTTAAATTTGGCACCAATGTGTGGGCTCATGGTGCAAATGTCCCCTTAAAAAACTATCAAAATCAAAAAACGATTTGGACATTTTTTTCAAAAATTCGTCAATTTTTTTAAATTTTTTTTGAAAATTCCCTTTTTGATGCAGACAATTTAATTTTAGCAAGACAATGTATATGACATTAAAAAAAGACATTTTTATGAAAAATCGTTTGGTGAAAGCAGCATAGGTGTATCTTTATTAGTTTTCGAGATATGATTTTTTTTAATTTAAAAGTTGTCGGTTTTTTATTTAATTTTCAGTTTTTCGGCAGAAATCTTTATTTTAGCAAGATCATGTATACGACATTAAAAAAAGACATTTTTATGGCGAATTTTTTGGTGAAAACCGCGTAAGGTTATCTTTGTTAGTTTTCGAGATATGATTTTTTTAAATTCAAAATTTAAGAAACGTCAAAATCTGACGTTTCTTCCATGTACATTTTTACGTCTATAACTCGCTTAATTTAAGGCCGAGAAAAAATTCCTTCACTAAATTTGTGTAAAATAACTTCCTCTGGAAGACCAAAAAGAAAAAAATCAAAAATTTTGAAAATTACGGAAAATTATTTTTTAAGGAATTTTTTCCAAATGAAATACCCGTTTTTATGCGTTTTTGGGCATAACTCGGTCAATTTTGGCCCGACCGGGCTAAAATTTTAAACGTTTGCTCTCGCACGGACACCAGTGAGGCCGGTAATGTAAAACCGGAAGATTTCCGGAAAACCCGGAAACGGATTTTTCAGCTGTTTTAAAAAACGTCAGATTTGACGTATTCACATTTGCTCGCGATTAGTGATACTATAAAAAAATAAATCATTTATATAGCGCAAATACACGCGCGATAGCGCGAATTTATGCGCGATAGCGCAATTGTACGCGCGCGAGCCCGAATTCACAGAATTTTGGTTGTTTTTTTAAATAATACATTCAAACAAAAAATATTCGGCTATTTCCGGAGTGTCATCTGGAAGTTATTTTTTTAAATATTTTAAACTTTTCACGCCTTTAATTCAGTCGTTGCACATAAAGTTTATGCCCACATATGCGCGATAGCGCACATACAAGCGCGATAGCGCAAATACAGGCGCGACAGCGCAAATGTACGCGTGCGAGCCCAATTTTACAGAATTTCGAATGTTTTTAAAAATAAGAACTTCGAACAAAAATATTATACAATTTAATTTTAGCAAGACAATGTATAAGACATTAAAAAAATATATTTTTATGACAAATCGTTTGGTGAAAGCAGCATAGGTGTATCTATATTAGTTTTAGAGATATGATTGTTTTTAATTCAAAAGTTGTCGGTTTTTTATTTAATTTTCAGTTTTTCGGCAGAAATCTTTATTTTAGCAAGATCATGTATACGACATTAAAAAAAGACATTTTTATGGCAAATCTATTGGTGAAAACCGCGTAAGGTTATCTTTGTTAGTTTTCGAGATATGATTTTTTTAAATTCAAAATTTAAGAAACGTCAAAATCTGACGTTTCTTCCATGTACATTTTTACATCCATAACTCGCTTAATATAAGGCCGAGAAAAAATTCCTTCACTAAATTTGTGTAAAATAACTTCCTCTGGAAGACCAAAAAGAAAAAAATTAAAAATTTTGAAAATTACGGAAAATTATTTTTTAGGCATTTTTTTCAAATGAAATACCCGTTTTTATGCGTTTTTGGGCATAACTCGGTCAATTTTGGCCCGATCGAGCTGAAATTTTAAACGTTTGCTCTCACACGGATACCAGTGAGGCCGGTAATGTAAAACCGGAAGATTTCCGGAAAACCCGGAAACGGATTTTTCAGCTGTTTTAAAAAACGTCAGATTTGACGTATTCACATTTGCTCGCGATTAGCGATACCTGTGTCCCAAGGGTAAAAAATAAATCATTTATATAACGCAAATACACGCGCGACAGCGCGAATTTATGCGCGATAGCGCAAAAGTACGCGCGCGGGCCCGAATTCACAGAATTTTGGTTGTTTTTTAAAATACATTCAAACAAAAAATATTTGGCTATTTCCGGAGTGTCATCGGTAAATTATTTTTTTAAATATACACACCTTTAATTCAGTCGTTGCACATAAAGTTCATACCCACATATGCGCGATAGCGCAAATACAGGCGCGATAGCGCAAATGTTCGCGCGCGAGCCCGATTTCACAGAATTTAGGTTGTTTTTTAAAATACGACATTCACACAAAAAATATTTGGCTATTTCCGGAGTTTTATCGGTAAATTATTTTTTTAAATATTTTAAACACACCTTTAATTCAGTCGTTGCACATAATGTTCATACCCACATATGCGCGACAGCGCAAATACATGCGCGATAGCGCAAATATAGGCGCGATAGCGCAAATGTTCGCGCGCGAGCCCGATTTCACAGAATTTTTTTGATTTTTAAAATAAGAACTTCAAACAAAAATATTCGGCTATTTCCGGAGTGTCATCGGTAAGTTATTTTTTTTAATTGTAAACATTAAAAACTAATTTCCACACTTTTAATTCAAAGTTTATACCCACTCACGCACATATACATATGCGCGACAGCGCAAATACGGGCGCGATAGCGCAAATACGGGCGCGATAGCGCAAATGTACGCGCGCGAGCCCTAATAAACAAAAAATGTTGTTTGTTTTTTAAAATTAAACCTTCAAACAAAAAAATAGTTGGAGTGTTATCAGTAAATTTTTTTTTTATATTTTAAAGAATAATAACGTTTTTTCTGGGTCTTCAAAAATTACCACTAAAATATTATCTAAAAAATAACAGAATAGAGGCGCGCAGCGCCGATTTCTATAATATAATATTTTTTTACCGTAATTGTTTTAAGGCAATTTTTTTTTATAAATTTGAGGCAAAAAACTTTACTTTAGCAAGGTAAATGTATATATCATTAAAATATATATATATATATATGTGCAACAGCGCAAATATACGCGCGATAGCGCAAATATACGCGCGATAGCGCAAATGTACGCGCGCTAGCGCAAATGTACGCGCGATATTTTCTTATTCTTTTTACAATTTTTTGTTATTAAAATATTGCCGCTTTTTTGGGAACTTCATTTTGAGACAAAAAACTTTACTTTAGCAAGATAAATGTACCTATATGACATTTATAAGGCGCAAATACATGCGCGATAGCGCAAATACACTCGCGATAGCGCAAATGTACCCGCGCGATTTCGAATACAAATAATATTGTCTGTTTTTTTGTATTTAAAATGTATATGACATAAACAGAAGGCGTTTTTATGACAACTCATTTTGTAAAAACAAAACAAGTCCATCTTTATTTGTTTTTAGGATATAAGCGAACACACACAAGTGCGCGCAAGCGCAAATATATGCGCGATAGCGCAAATGTACCCCCGCGAGCCTGAATAAACAGAAACTTGTGTGTTCTTTTATAATTTAAATGTAAATTATTTGTCTGTTTACAAAGTGTTCTCTTTTTTAATTTTTTTAACAATAATACCTTAATTCCTGGGTCTTCAAAAATTACCTCTAATATATTATCCAAACTTTGTTTTAGAACCATTTTTAAAAAATGTGCAAATTCGCAATTTTAACAAATAACAGAATAGAGGCGCGCAGCGCCGATTTTTATATTATTTTTTTTTTATTTTGACCATAATTATTTTGAGACTTTTTTTAAATTAAAATTTAAGATAAGATTTTTTGTAATCAAAAAATTGATGCTTTTTTTGAAAACAAAATAAATCCATCTTTATTTGTTTTTGGGATATATTTTTTTAAAATTAAAACATTGAAGCTTTTTTAAAAAATTCTTAGTTGAAGCAAAAAACTTTACTTTAGCAAGATAAATGTATATAATATTTAAAAGGCGCAAATACATGCTCAGTAGCGCAAATATAAGCGCACGAGCCTGAATACAAATAATATCGTGTGTACTTTTTTAAATTAAATGTATATGACATAAACAAAAGGCATTTTTATGACAAGTTATTTTGTGAAAACAAAACAACTCCAACTTAATTATTATTTGAAGCAACTTTAATTTTGCAAGATAAATATATATGAAATTTAAAAGGCGCTAATACATGCGCGATAGCGCAAATATACGCGCGATAGCGCAAATGTACGCGCGCGAGCCCGAATACAAATAATATTGTCTATTTTTTAATTTAAATGTATATGACATAAACAGAAAATTATTTTGTGAAAAGAAAACAATTCCATCTTTATTTATTTTTAAGATATGATTTTTTTGATTAAAAAAATTGACGTTTTTTTTTGAGGCAGAAAACTTTACTTTAGCAAGGTAAATATATATGACGTTTAAAAGGCGCAAATACATGCGCGATAGCGCAAATACAGGCGCGATAGCGCAAATGTACGCGCGCGAGCCCGAATTCACAGAATTTTGGTTGTTTTTTTAAATAATACATTAAAACAAAAAATATTAGGCTATTTCTGGAGTGTCATCGGCAAGTTATTTTTTTTAAATATTTTAAACTTTCTACGCCATTAATTCAGTCGTTGCACATAAAGTTTATAACTACATATGCGCGACAGCGCAAATACATGCGCGACAGCGCAAATACATGCGCGACAGCGCAAATACATGCGCGACAGCGCAAATACATGCGCGACAGCGCAAATACATGCGCGACAGCGCAAATACATGCGCGACAGCGCAAATACATGCGCGATAGCGCAAATACATGCGCGATAGCGCAAATACATGCGCGACAGCGCAAAAACATGCGCGACAGCGCAAAAACATGCGCGATAGCGCAAATACAGGCGCGCGAGCCCGATTTCAAAGCATTTTGGTTGTTTTTTAAAATAAGAACTTCCAACAAAAATATTCGGCCATTTCCGGAGTGTGATCATTCTTTTTGGTACGATTTTTTGTTATTAAAATATTGCCGCTTTTTTGGGAACTTCATTTTGAGACAAAAAAATTTACTTTAGCAAGATAAATGTACCTATATGACATTTACAAGGCGCAAATACATGCGCGACAGCGCAAAAACACGCGCGATAGCGCAAATACACTCGCGATAGCGCAAATGTACCCGCGCGAGTTCGAATACAAATAATATTGTCTGTTTTTTTGTATTCTAAATGTATATGACATAAACAGAAGGCGTTTTTATGACAACTCATTTTGTAAAAACAAAACAAGTCCATCTTTATTTGTTTTTAGGATATAAGCGAACACACACAAGTGCGCGCGAGCGCAAATATATGCGCGATAGCGCAAATGTACCCCTGCGATCCTGAATAAACAGAAACTTGTGTGTTCTTTTATAATTTAAATGTAAATTATTTGTCTGTTTCCAAAGTGTTCTCGGTATATATTTTTTAATTTTTTTAAGAATAATACCTTAATTCCTGGGTCCCAAAAAAATCACCTCTAAAATATTATCCAAACTTTGTTTTAGAACCATTTTCAAAAAATGTGCAAATTCGCAATTGCAACAAATAGCAGAATAGAGGCGCGCAGCGCCGATTTTTATATTATATTTTTTTATTTTGACCATAATTATTTTGAGACTTTTTTTGAATTAAAATTTACTGTAAGATTTTTTTGTAATAAAAAAATTAATGCTTTTTTGTGAAAACAAAACAAATCCATCTTTATTTGTTTTTGGGATATCTTTCTTTTTTAATTAAAACATTGAAGCTTTTTTTAAAAATTCTTATTTGAACAAAAAACTTTACTTTAGCAAGATAAATGTATATAATACTTAAAAGGCGCAAATACATGCGCGATAGCGCAAATATACGCGCGCGAGCCCGTATACAAATAATATTGTGTGTACTTTTTTAAATTAAATGAATATGACTTAAACAAAAGGCATTTTTATGACAAGATATTTTGAAAAAACAAAACAACTCCAACTTAATTCTTATTTGAAGCAACTTTAATTTTGCAAGATAAATATATATGACATTTAAAAGGGGCTAATACATGCGCGACAGCGCAAATGTACGCGCGCCACCTCGAATACAAATAATATTGTCTGTTTTTTTGGTAATTTAAATGTATAACATAAACAGAAGGTATTTTTTTATCAAATAATTTTGTGAAAACAAAACAACTCCAACTTAATTCTTATTTGAAGCAACTTTAATTTTGCCAAAGTTGTACCGTAACAGTCTTGGAGGAGCTGTACGTCTCAGGGGGGAAAGTTCGTTGAGGAAAAGATTTGTAAGGCCCAGATAATGTTCTTTATTGATTGTAATGAATTGTTTTTAGCAAACTATACATGACATTTAAAAGGCGCTAATACATGCGCGATAGCGCAAATATACGCGCGATAGCGCAATTGTACGCGCGCGAGCCCGAATGCAAATAATATTGTCTGTTATTTTTTAATTTAAATGTATATGACATAAACAGAAAATTATTTTGTGAAAAGAAAACAATTCCATCTTTATTTATTTATGATTTTTTTGATTAAAAAATTGACGCTTTTTTTGAGGCAGAAAACTTTACTTTAGCAAGATAAATATATGTGACGTTTAAAACGCGCAAATACATGCGCGATAGAGCAAATACACGCGCGATAGCGCAAATGTACGCGCGCGAGCCCGAATACAAAGAAAATGTTTTTTTCCAATTTAAATTTACATTTATGTATAGGAGATTAAAAAAATATATATTTATGACAAATCCTTAGGTAAAAAGGGCACAAGTCCAATGTTATTAATACTTTGAATGTTATGTTATGATTTTAAACTCAATTATTTACTGCAATGAAAACAGTCACTATCGGCGGACAAACCTATACTGGACTCCACGACTCTATTGTCAGTTTACTGGCAACCCCCGGCGCTAGAGCTAAACTAGCGCAAGATGCGCTAGTTTGGTTCGGCTTGGATTTAAATACGTTAAATAAGAAAACGTTTCACACATAAGAGCTTGTGATGATATTGAAGATGATTTTATTTTCGACTTGAATTTGATTCGACAGCATGCATGGGTATATGGGTATATGGGTTTAGTTTTGTCACTCGATCAGGAATTTTAAAATTTAGAAACGAGAAATTTGTCTTATAACTGGCATAAAAAGTTTTGGGAACAAGTTTTTTATTATTTAATATTTGCTATTAGGTAAAAAATAGTTTTATTATTTCGACCATAAATTAAATTTAACGATTTCACGGAGGGGAAAGAGATGTTGGAAATTATAAAAAGTATTTTCAAGAGTAGTAAATTTTTTATAGAAAGTTGGTTAAGTCTTGAAGACCTGTGCGATAAATAAATAATAATTCTTACAGTTATTACAAAATAGTAAAAAGCTTGTGTGTAATACAACTTAAGTTAATTAATTTTTAGATTTGGAATGGGGATCTTTAGTAGTATACCTAATTGGTAAATTTGGTGCCACTGCAGCCTTCACTATTCTTTATGTTCTTACTAGCGAAATGTTCCCCACACCCATGAGACACTCCTTTATGGGAACATGTTCCACTTTTGGAAGAATAGGGTCCATGGTATCTCCACAAACGCCCCTTTTGGTACGTATATAAAAAACCTATAATACTAAATAAAAATATTAAAATTGTTTTAGGCTCAAATATGGAAACCACTTCCTTTAGTAATGTTCTCCTCTATGTCCCTTATCGCAGGACTTCTTACTCTTCTATTTCCAGAAACGCACAACACCAAATTGCCAGATACAATGGAAGAAGCAATAGAAATAGGCAAATAAAATAATTATAGAAACAAACTAATTAAATAATTATTATAATTATAATCTGTGATCTAGGTATCTGTATTATTGTATAAATATATTATATATTAATTTTTAATAGTTAGAACTGTTGTTCTAATGAAGTTATATAATATTTATTTTTATATAAAGTTATATGTTCCTGTGAAAGTTAACTATACTGATTTTACGTAGTCTTAAGTATTAAAAGTAAATTAAAAAATAAAATGTATATTTTATAAATGTCTATTACATTTAATTAATTAATTTTAAAATACAATATTTTTATTCACGTTTGTTTATATTAAATATATTTTTTTAATTAAATACTATAGTGATAGTAAATAATAGTACTAAAAAACTAAAATATTTACATTTCTTTACTTTATCATGAACATGTTTTTTTTAGAAGACTATCATTAAAAGTTGACTTTTACATAATGTTTATTGAATGTGAAAACAACAGCTTTTTGTCTACAGAACCTAAAAGTATTTTACATCCATTTCTATGGACGAAAAAGACTTTTCGTAGAGCCTCCATTGAAAATCCGATATTCAGTAGGTACCTGTAGAGCGGGTTAAAACTCTCAGTTTCAACCTGCTCTATAGAGCACTATATATAGTTACTAAAAATCGGATTTTTAATAGAGGCGCTATGAAAAATTACTCGAAATTTAACAAACCGATCGCAAATCGTTGCAATCACTGTGTTTTATCCCTTATATTTATAATGAAATAAACTATTACATCTCTTGCTATGGATAATTATTAAAATATGTGCAGCAAATTATAGATGACATACATGTCAAATAAAACAATTTTGTCTTCATATAATATATTATATTATATTACTAAATATTTAAACTGATACAGTTTTTAAAAAAATGTTGTTTAATGTTGTTTAATACTTCATTGTGAAAACTTTTATTCTCGAACGCAAAAGTGGCATTTCGAAATTTAGCATCAAAAATAACTTTTTAAACCTATAATATCATATTATGTTGTTTCAACCTATAATATACCTACCCCACGACAGTCAGGTATGGACAAGTAGGTACCCTGTATATTAAAATTTGGGTATGTATCCTGTGATGTTTGGAAGTAATGTAAAAGGCAAACCAACGAGGTGTACTAATTAACTATACTAATATCTACGAGCCCTAACCACATAATGTTCGGACACTTCATAATTTATACAGAAATTTTTTTCGTGAATACTATCTCAAAATTATTAGAAGTTATGAAAAATTCAGCTTATTTTGGCATATACCCCTCGAAGCAATTTTTATTTTTAAAAAGTTTACCTTTTATTTTTAGCTTTTAAAAAAAGGCTAACTTTTTAACTTTTTTTTGCATGAGTAAAAAAAGTTATAAATGGGCCCATTAAAAAGAACATAAAATATTATACAAACCCTGAAAATTTGGTAAAAATTGTATAAATAATAAGAAAGTTATAGCGATATATATATCTGCAAAATCTCCCGTTTCCTAAGAAAATTGCAAAAACTCTTTAAAAATAGCATTTTTAAATTACTTATACTTTTTTATAACTTATTTATTTTTTACCAAATTTTCAGGGTTTGTATAATATTTTATGCTCTTTTTAATGGGTCCATTTATAACTTTTTTTACTCATACAAAAAAAAGTTAAAAGTTAGCCTTTTTTTTAAAGCTAAAAATAAAAGGTAAACTTTTTAAAAATAAAAATCGCTTCGAGGGGTATATGCCAAAATAAGCTGAATTTTTCATAACTTCTAATAATTTTGAGATAGTATTCACGAAAAAAATTTCTGTATAAATTATGAAGTGTCCGAACATTATGTGGTTAGGGCTCGTATAACATTACAACTAACTATATACTCTCTACCGCTATACCGTATATGTATCTACCGTAGCTGTACTTCTTCAGATAGGGCACATAGTGACTGTCACTCCTTATGTTCTGTGTGCCACTCTGTTCTACTCTGTGAGCTAGGCAGGGTTGCCATGTGGTTGTTCCTAAATTCCCCCAAAGAATTTTAAAAATACCCCAATAATTATTATTTTACCATTAAAATCCCCCAAATAAAAATAGTTTTATTCTTGACTGACACGTGCGTACTTTCACTGAACAAGATGAGTCATGATTCATATACCAATTTTAATTAGTAATTTATAAAATAAATATAAATGCAATTTCTTAATTGTTAGAAAAGAATAGAAAACGTAAACACAATTTCTAGCACAAAACGTAGATAACGGGAAATTTACATTAATCAGAGTTATTAGAATAATTTTCGCAACATTAAAAAAACATCTAAAACTATCGATAATTATCGATAGTTACATTTCCGACTATCGAAAACTATCTTCGATAGTTGTCGACCTCAATACTGAAGCCAAGAAATGGTTTTCGCATAGTGGGGCAAACAATTTGTGCACAGGAGTTTCAGAATTCTCAGCATAGTAATTTTTAGCAGACACGTACGCAGACGAACAAGAAGTACCTCAAGAAGCAAGATAGGCTCCAGCAGCGTACTAACCAACCAAGCCCCATTCATTAACCCAAATTGACTCTGGATTGTACTTAGTTTTGGATTCGTCTAATGTCTTCCAAAAAATAAAATTTACTTTCTTCTTGTGCCGAACTCCACCAGCCTAAATCGAGCGTATGGGCCCCCGCATCGACAAAAAATTCCGGGAGGGGCCTTAAACATCGACAATGTCATTCACGAGATTTACCAGCAAGGGTGAATATTCGGATCCACCAAACTCAGGTAATGCTACGCAGTTGCCGGATACGTAGAAGAACTAAAAGGGGGTAATAATAACTCTGGGAGATCAGTGCAAGGCGATGCCGATTAATTTAGTACCTGTTGCAATGCATGAGACTGTCTCATTGAGACATTTGGTAAAATTTCACTAGTAAAATTATACGATAGTGGTAATTATAATATAATGCTGTTATATAATTAATGTTATATATTAAAATGGGTTGTTCCATTGTGTCCATAAAGAAGCACCTGATTTTTTTTTCTAAATTCCAAAGTCTAAAAATAATTTATAATAACCTTTATCCTACCAAAAAGTACGCCACTGATCGACTAGGAACTTTAGGCTAATCTAGTTGCCTAATTTAATTTATTATGTTATGGTTGGTAACAACAGTGTTTCCAAAATCTGTCAAAAAAGTTAACAAGCATTGTTTAAATTTAGCTTAATTACAAAAATGACAAAATTAACAATGCAAATTGTCAATTTGGCGTTTTTATTAATTGTTGGTTGCGTCATTTTTGTACTGAAGGTAAATTCAAACAAAATCTTCCAACTTTTATGACAGAATCTAGTGCATTTCTTTCAAATTTTAGGTTATGTGATCAAATTGTAAATATCTTAACTAAGGAAAGTGCTTTTGGATTTAATTACACAAATTAAATGTTTAAAGTTTAACCTGTGAACTGGTCCCAATTTCATCTGAGTAAACAGAAAGAAAAAAAATGAGTAAAAAATTAATTTTGTGGTTATGGATTTTTTAAAATAGGTACTAAATTTTCTAATCATTGCTTAAGCTAATAGCTGGATGAGTAAATAAATACAGAAGGGTATTAGAGCTTTAAGGGCATAACACTTTTGTATTTATTGAGTTTTTATTTATTTTTTGCAAGAAAAATTTTTAGTAACAATTTTTTACATATGGCAACGCGCAGCTACTGTTGGTTGGTATCTATGTACTCACAGAACGCAAGTGTGCAGAGATAAACCAAGTTTGTAACCATGCAGTGGCGTATCACAAAAAATATAAAAAAAAACTTCTAAAGTCCATGTCTGACGGTGCAACTTCTCGCGGCGACTTTGTTGCGGCGACTAGGTCGCCGCGATTTTTTGGTGGTCACACGATGCAACTAATCAGCTGATCTAACATGTCTCAAAATAGAACATGTTCTATTTTCATGCAATAAAATCGCCGCGACTTAGTAACTTTTTTAGGGATTTACGAATTTTCACTAAATTTTTTGGTTGGTACTCAATATTTATCAGCTGTGGAATGACAGATGTGATTTGCGTGTGCTTTAATCTGAGTGTTTCTATTTTTACACCACAAAATACTTATAACTTTAAAAGAAAAACAAAATCGATTTAAATAAACATTAAATTTGTTTAGGTATTTTTATTTTTCAACTAAGTAATTTTCGGTTATGTTGGCAATCCTAGTAGAAAATAACATCAGTTTGGTTGCACCGTGTGAACACCCTAGAGGCGAGAAAGTCGCTGCAACTAGTCGCCGCAACAAAGTCGCCGCGAGAAATTGCACCGTCAGACATGGACTTAATGCATATTTTTTTTTATCTTTGGAAAAATATTTTTTTAAATATTTTTCCTTTGCTCCTTATGTCAAAAGGTATTCAGTATTTTAATATATAACATTAATTACATAACACCCTGTATAATATGAAAATTTTGTTGTAAAATATTGCTATTTTAATTTTATTGTATGCTTTGTAAATAATGTAAAAAAATAAAATCATGTCCTATAAAAAACTTATATTTTATAATAATTTATAAAATTAACATTCCAACAAAACGAATAAGAACTTCTTACCCTGCTTAAAAGTTAATTAATTAACGAAGTAATTTTTTATATACACAAAAGCTCACAAATCAGGCTCCTTCAAACGGACATTGAATTGTAAGTTACAAGTATTTGCATCTTTACTGAGGATATTTGTGTCTTTAAATATGAATATAATCTATGTTACATAGATTATGTACAAATATAAGTTTTGGTCAAAAGTTTATATACATATAGGCATAGGTATAATTAAATTAAAGTAGGTATACAAAATCAAATATAAAATTATGTCCCTAAGTATGTACAAAATAAAATATGAGTAGGTATAACAGTATTAAAATAAACGTAATTTTTGGCAACAGTTTGAAAGGCTGTTTCTCTCTTATTTTTAAGTTCTGATAAAAAAGTGACTTGAAATATTTGTTTGTCTATTAAAATTTACGCTGTATATATTTCCGGTTTCTATTGGATATATTTTTAATTTTTCTTTTTTTTAAATATAGGTCCATAAAAAACGAAAAAATATTTTTTTTTCGAACCGTTAAATCCATGGATCAAAAATATTATAAAAATAGAAAAAATAAAATTTTTTAGATCTGTAACATTCCATAAACATATCTTATGTGTGATTATTTAAATTTTTTTGTGTCTAAATGTTATTACATTATTATTAAATATTATCCATCACATATAATATCACAGATATAATGTTTTTATTGCAAAATTAAAAATAATAATATTATAATTATAAGTATAAGTACACGAATATTTAAACACTCCAAAACATAGTTTTAGTTGTACCAAATGACGTAATACACATATGTTTTTGTGGTAAATTTTACGTTAATATCCCTAAAATTAAATGTTTTCATCTTTTAACGGTATTATTTCTTGTTGAAGATCAACCGAAACAAATTTGTGGATCTCGTTAAGTTCACGGCCTTCGTTAACAACTAAATCTTTAGGAACCAAACTTTTGGTAAACAGTGTTAACCATAGAAGACATGCAGCCATCATTACAGTTGTTAAGATAAATGTGTGAACTGTACCATACTCTTCATAAATATACGTGACGAATACTGGCCCCATCACTCTAGACAAACAACCAGAACCGGTTATGAGACCCATCCATACTCCCTAAAATTAAATAGTTTTCTATTTTTTATGCCTCTCTCAAAATAGTGTTGATGTTAATGTTAATTTTAATATCCAAAGCATAGAAAAATACGTTCACAATGATGGTAATACCATCATTGTGAACGGATACACGCATTTTTCTATGCTTTGGATATTAACATTAACATTTACATTAACATCAACACTATTGTGACACAGGCATTACTCGTCATTCCACTTCTGTTTCAGACAACATAAAAGTATCGAAATAGGTGACGCGCTCCGAGATATCGAACCTTACACTGAGAAAAAAGTTTATTGCTCCCAAATAAAAAAAATATTTAAATATGGGACAAGGGTACAGTTTATTTATCCTAAATATATTTTTATTCCCGACACATAAAGTTTTACTAAAGTATATTTATCGTTATTATTTCGACTATTTAGAGGTAATAAACAATATATTCACTATTAATAAAAGTATTAGCTATACACAGTTTATTTGTCCCATTTTTTTCTCAGGGTAGGTAAAAAAATTATACCCTGATTGAAGTTTGTAACAGTGTCAATTTTTGAGATAAACAAATCATCATTAAACTTAAAACAATCATAATCTCGAAAATCATGTTTTGAACCCTAGGTTCGTTTTTTTAGAGCGCGTCACATATAATCATTTATTATATGGATATGGACGCTTTTTAAACAGTTATATCACGGCGTTCTCTATAGAGAATAGGGTGGGCCGATTTTAATATTTTTCAAATATCAAATTGTGCAATGGTGGAAAAGTTGTGCATTTATAAGGCCAGAAAAATATTATAAGAGTTTTTTTTTTAATTTTAATTTCTTAAACTGCCGCAAGGCCTTGAAAGATCTTAATGTAATTTAGTATCGTTATAAATACGAAAAAAATTATCTGAGAGAAAATAGGGTTAAATGATAAATATTTATTAAAAAAAAAACAAAAATAAAAATGAATTTATCATCAACACAAATTTAATTCAATTTATAATACTGTTTTACCTGCCATTTTTCACAAACACCCAAAAACCACAAACAGATACTACTTGTAAAAATTTCTATTATTCAACTAATTGACGATGTCAAAATATTATAATTTATATAAACAGTGAAGCCAACTGTCAACTGTCCTACGTCAAACACGAAAACTTAAAAAATATTTATTCTCCATTTTACGCCGTCTCTCCAATAATTACAATTATTGCAAAATTTAAAATTTACAGTTTGACTTCATACAGTTCAAAACATTAAAAAAGAAAAAAATATTAAAGGAAAATAGTTTACTTTCCTATTTCACAACTTTCCCGCTTATGAATAATTTTAAATTTTTAAAAATTACTTTTAAATTTTTAGAGGCGTTGCGGCAGTTTAAAACATATAGATATAAAAAAAATATATTGCAAAAAATGTTTACTTTCCTATTTCACAACTTTTTCTTAAATGCAGAATTTAATATTTTTAAATTTTAGAAGTTAAATATAAAATCGGCCCACCCTAATAGAGAACGCAGTGGTTGTATTCAATATATGAGGAAAAACAAGCTAAACCTGTCACCTATCTGCCTCGACAGTGATTTTGACCAAACTTGGAACAGAGATTATCTCGTATATACAGGGTGTCCAGAAATAACTTTAATATACAGGACAGCAGAAAAGGGGTGGATAGAGTCAAATAGTCTTTGCCGTTTTTCCATCAGACGCACCATTAGTTATTAATAAAATAAAGTAGCCAATCACATGCGTGTTTTAGCGGAATGATGGGAGAACTATAATGTGCAACTTAATATTAGAAATTCTATAAAAAGTGTAAAATGACCTTAATTATATGGTTGTCATTGTCACTGTCAGTGTTTTAGTTTTTAGCTTAGTTTTAACTTGAGACATTTTTTTAGGAAAAATTGGTGGCCCTAATACAGATTAATAATCGTTTTAAACGTTGTGTTTCTTACAGAGGCGCTTGTAAGCCTAAAAGTGCAACCGTTTTACTCCTCTTTTGGTAAAAATAAAGCTTATTCTATCAGGCTGTCATTAAATTGTCAAATTTCAATTTTAAGGTTAATTTACCATAACCCACAAATTTAATTTGATTTGATGATAGCCCTGATAGAATAAGGTTTAAAATGGTTGTTCTTAGGCCTTAGCAATTGAGGCTTACAAGTGCCTCTGTAAGAAACACAACGCATCAAACGATTTCTAATCTTTTTAAACATAAAAATGGCCGCCGTTAGATTCTGTGCAGTGTTGCAGTGATTTTTAGTATGCGCGAAACAAGATAAAACAGGGTTTGATGTGTGGATTGTGATTATTACATATTCATTCAAATATATCTAATTAATTATTATTAATATTAATAAAATAATTATTTTAACTTATTTTAAAAAAGGTAAAGTAAAGTATATCACCATAAACCTTGTATTAACTTATTTATTATGTCGTTATAAAAATAACAAAAATAAAAGGTAGGTCTATTTGTCCCACACAAAAAAATGAACATTACATAAAAAACAAAACCTTGACAGTGACAGTGAAAAATAAAATTAAGGTCATTTCATAATATAATACGTTCATAGCCATGGAATTTCTACAAAAGTTTGTGTTGTCCCACCTCTCATCATTCTGCTAGAGCACGCCTGTGATTGGCTACTTTATTTTATTAATAACTTTTAATTAATGGTGCGTCTAATCAATAAACGGCAAAGACTATTCGCCTTAGAATCCCATCCTCTATCCACCCCTTTTCTGCTGTCCTTGACTTTTGAGACACCCTGTAGGGATTCTACACGTAAATTGGGCAAGAAATCATCTGGTGGTGTCATATCGCATAAATCATGACAATAGGCGTGCGAAATTGGGGCTACTCAGGAAAAAAAATTATCATATTTTTTTGTTATTTTTTTAATTCTTGATCTTGGAATAAAATTCTCCATATAATTTTAGGTAAAAAAGTTATTTTTACAAAGACATGGAGGCAACCGTTTTCTAGAAAACGGTTGCCAAGAAGCAGTCCCGGATATACCCCTATGTAAACGGACGTTTACCAGTTTTCATGAAAAACTGTGTGAAACTGGCACTTTTAAAGTAAACAAAGTGATTGCGGGAGAAATCTAACAACTCGAACAGTTGAAAACGAAGAAACGGTCCTGAAAATAGTTCTAATTCTGGACAAGCACTAGAAGAATTGCTATGCAAGAGTTTCAAAATGTACAGTTTGGAAAATAATGCACAAACAACTGCTATATCCCTATCATTCACAGAGAGTACAATACATAAATTCTTGCAGACTAGAATGCAGACTAGAATTCTGTCGCTGGTTAAGAACAAATTGGAATGAAGACCCCAACTTTATTGAAAAAAATATTTTTACTGACGAAGCCGGATTCAATAGGGATGGAATTAATAATTTTCATAATAAAAATGCATGAGCTGATAAAAATTTGCATGAATTTATTGAATCAAGGCATCAGCAAGAATAATTGGCGATTTCTATGTCCTCACGTCTTACCAAATCAACTGAATGGTGAAACTCCAAAACGTTTCTATAAACCTCCTTGATAACATGCCCTACCATTTAAGATTATCGATGTTTATTATGCATGATGACGCCCACCACAAATTGGAAATAAACTTCGTTATTGTTGTAGTTCATTTACGAGAACAAGAATTTATGAACTTTTGTGGCGAGACATTTTTAATAGCGTGTTTCTCGAAAACGGTTGGCTCCATGACTTTGTAACAAAAGTAGCTTTTTTACGTAAAATTATTTGAAGAATTGTATTCCAAGATCGAGAATTTAACAACACACCACAAAAAAATTTTAGGATTTTTCCCCGAGTAGCTCCTTTTTCGCACGCCTATAGTTACCATTTATCTGATTTGACATCACCAGATGTTTCTTGCCCAAAAATTACCCCAGAAATAAAGCATCATCATTTTTGCATTAACCTTTTCTGAAATAATTAATAAAAACATGATTTTGCGAAACAGTTTAAAATGCCCAGGAGGCATTTTCTGACATTTGTACAAATTTTTCTTGTCAAAAATGTTAATGATTTTTTTGATAAAATCAAAAATACGCGAACTTCCTATAAACAGTGTGTTTCATTTTGATTGGCGACAATTCGGTATTTATTTAAAAATAGATAGACCCCAAAATTTTTTGTTTTAAGTTTGTAGTACTCTAAAACCTAAATGCTACTTTAAAATTACTTTTAAAATACCATTTTTTTATTTCCGGCCTTAATTTGTGAACATCCTGTATAACCTAGAGTAACAAAACTAAGCGAATGTTTAATTCGTATAATACCTAATTATATGACAAAATATTTTTGAAAAATCCTTCTTAGAATTTATACACAGTGCTTAAAAAAAGTGTTTTGTATCCGAATTTTACCTTACTTTTTGACCATCCAGTATAAAATTTTATTAAAATATTATCGATTTAGAGGTTTTTGGGTATGCCAAATTCAGAAACGCTGCTCATTTTTTAATTTAAAAAATGCCATAAACTTTTGGACAAAGTTTTTTTTTAAGATAGAGCTTTTAGAGTACTACAAATTTAAAACAAAAAATTTTGAGATCAATCTATTTTTAAATAAATACCGAATTGTCACCAATCAAAATGAATTGAAATAATAAAATCTAAATATACTGGACTAATGGTCAATGTATCCATATTTTTTATTTATTTGAAGCTTATTTCGGTTAGTAAACCAAAACAAACAAAATATTAAAATATATTAAAAAATATTCCCAAACAAAACACAAGCAAATACGTCAAGTACGTACATGTAATAAACACATACTTCCACACATATACTGCTTATTCGCTAAATTTTGTATATATGCCCTTCTTCCCTTTTTTCAGGGTAAATTTGTTGATTTTTTATGTATGCGCATAGTCAGTTTATAATTGGGGGATTTAAAATATATTATACCTACCATAGACATTACAGAACATAAGACAAATTAATACGTCCACGTATAATACTAATTTTTAACTAAATAGAATTTAGGTCGCACCAAATTTTTATAAATCATTTGCTTACATAGCCTAGGACCTAGGCCATAAGTTAAGCTTACAAAAATTTCTGTGAGCCACTAAATCTCGAAAAAACAATGGAAAAAAATAATGCCAAAACAATTGGTATACAACAGAAAACAAACAAAATGGATAATTATAAAAACCATCTACATATTTATATCTATCATAAAAACCTTTTGGCTACGATACGATAATCGTGATCAAAATAAGATGTTGCCAAATTCTTACTTTTATAAATATGCCATTATAAAATCTTGTGTGTTTATTGTTGTTAAATGCTTTTTTTATACAATTTATACCCACAAAATGGAAACAGTCTTATTTAAAAATCATTTGTATATGTGTGGAAGTATGTGGTAATAAGGCGACCTTTGTGGAGGTCATAGCCTATTTCATCCTATTCTAGGCTACGTGTTTTTTTGTTTTTTTTTTTGAGAAAAGATTTATACTGATTTTTTGACAAAACTTGGTGGTTATGTTTTTAAGGAAATAAAAAAATGTTATTTAAAATAATGTAGTTTTTTAAAAACCCTGACGGCAACTGTATATATAAAACTGTTCAGTTAGGTCAGAATCGATGATGTCGAGGAAAAAAGATTTCTGTGTAGGTTCTTTTCAGTAAGCAAAATCCATGTGGCATTTTTTTTAGTTTTTTCAAGGACAGAGTTTGTCAAGAATATTACCTGAGGTCGAGGTCCCAAAATTTTCGAAAATATTGTTTGTATTAACGTCACTCCAATCGGATAACCAAAAGCTGTCAAAAGGTATCCCACAATAAACTGTGTTAAAGTCATCGCTGGTGTATAAGTACACCACTGCTGGGTGGAAGGACATCCTAACAAATCATCCCCACAATTCAAGGTTAAATATTTAAGTTCTTCTTCATTTTGTATGCTATGGTAATTAAAAGTTCGATTGTGCAAGCTAAGTGAATTTTTTAGGAAATTTAAATTGATAGTCTCAGTCATTTCGTTAATGGTATGATTCTTTATCCAAAATGTGCAGACTAGAGTCAAGTTAACCTTAAAAGAATTATCGTAAACTTGTGGAGGATCATTCATGAAAGGTATATACGCAAGTCTACCCAAAACCATAAACAAAAATCCACCCCATATCATAACTTTTACTTCGTTAAATTTTTTTGTTAGCGGAGCAATCAAAGCAAAAGTAAAAATAGATAAAACAGCCCCAACAGACATTAATATGCCCATATACTTTAAGGAATCTCGTTTACTCCAGGCGAACTGATCCATTGTGAGAGGAGTACCCAGTGTTTCCAATATCATAAAATTAAACAAGATTACGAAGAATGCCACAAGCAAAGTCCACGCGGCAAAATAGGAAGGCTTAAACATTTTCCACGTGTCCTTCTCGTTGTTTGTGCCAGATTTTTGCATTGCCTCTCTACTGGCTATTTTGTGTTCTATGAACATGGAAGGAAAAAATAAGTAAATATTTATCAAAGTCAGGAAGACATTTATCCATCCAGAAGCAGTGTACATGTCCAGTTTTAATTGGTCTTTAATTAGCCAAACACCATCGTTTCCTAGCGGCACCACGGCTGCTTGTATCGCAGGTCCTATCACAAAACCAAGTACTTGAGCAAGAGAAATCATTGAAACTGCTTTTGTTCGTTCTGACACTGTTGTAGCCGCTGATAAGTAAGACCGACATGCAGCGACGTTAGCTAGAATAAGAATACACTTTATTTAAAGTGCAATATTTCAGACAAGTCACTTTCCCAGTAATATAAATTGATAAAATTACTTTTTTATTTATTATTTATTCATAAACACAGAACGTTTTTACATCAGAAAAGCTTAGATATGCAGATATAGCATTTTTAAAACCATACAGATAAAAAAAAGTTAACTTTTTCTAAACTTCATTTACCTTTTTGATCGTAGTAATTTGTCATTTTTTGTATCAATTAAATTGTTAAATAAATATTTTACAAAATCTATGATCTTCAAAAATATACCACCTGGACCCGTTTTAATAATAATTATATAATCATACCTGAGCTAACTCCTACTAAAAACCTAGAAAACACCATAATGTATTTCCTATGATTTTCAAACAGTTCTAATGATGAGTATGTGGCACTTGAAATGGCAAATATCGTCAAGGATAATATCAAAGGTATTCTTATAGATCCTAATCTATTACTCCACCAGCCGACAAGTGGCGAAAATATCATTTGGCCAAATGGATTTGCGGCCACCACGTAGCCCATAAACTCTTTGCCTGCAGTTGGATCCAGCTAAAAGCAATTGAGAATAAGAAAATTATCCCAACGACCAAAAATTCAATTTTAGGGTTCATATTGATTCTGATAAAATAAAAAAAGCCCGATCCATTAAGAATTTGTAAATACACCAAATATTATAAAACTTCCTTATACTGTATAAGTAATACATACAGCACTCTACAATAGTTTGTAAAAATTTAAAATAAATATTTATGTAAAAGTAAAAAACAAAAAATTTTACATGCAGCATACATTTCGCTTAAGATCACCTCTCGGACCACTACGAAATGGAATAACAAACTATTTAGTGACAGAAGCAAATTTATGCTGTTTGGAACCATGGTATAAAGTTTGACCCAAAATACCAAATGGTGTGAAAATGTTTCTCAACATCTGTTTAATGGCTAATTTTTTCGAGATGATCCATTCTGGCGCAACCGATTTGACGCGACTGGTTTGGCGCGGCTGTACTAGCGCAGGTCTGTTGTGACGCAGACCGCTTCTGGCGCAAAGCCTATTTAGCGTAGATAAGTTCTGGCGCGAAGACTTTATGGCGCAAATAATTTAAAACATATTAAAAATCGACCTTATTTTATCAACCTTTTGTTGTAATTAGTGCCTACCCTGCTAGAATGATAAATATAACTATATAATATATATATATTATATGATACGCTAATGACTTCCTATAATAATAATATAAGAAAGTTGGCGTTTATTTAGTTGTTATAGAGATGATAAGAATAATAACTTCATTGGCCTTTGTACCTATCGAAAATATCGATGAGGCGCTAGAGAGTCTCACAGAAGAAATACCGCCAGATTTGTTGCCAATGCTCGATTGGTTCGAAGATTTTTATGTTGGGAGACTAAACAGACGTGGAGGTGGGCGAAGACCAACCTTATGGTCTGTTTATGAAAGAGTTATCAACGACATTCACAGAACTAATAATTTTGCTGAAGCTTCTCACAGAAGGCTTCAAACAGAGTTATCAATGGATCATCCCACGATTTGGTCATTTATTGATATACTGAAAAAAGTGCAGGTTACAAGAGATATGTATATAGAACAATTAATAGCTGGACAGGCACCTCCTAAAAAACTTAGAAAATATGTTGAATGTGATAAAAGAATTAAGAATATTGTAGAAAATTTCAATAATATAGGGATGGTAGAATATTTGAAAGGCTTAGCTTACAATTATAATATGGCTTAGCTTACAATTATAATATAGAAGGGATGTATTATTTTGTATGAATTTGTAATAAAATATATGTTTTGAATTACGTTTTAATAAATTTATGTTTCAAATAATATGTTTGTGTTTCATTTATTTTTCAGGTACATTGCGGTTTTAATGGTTAAAATAGGGTCGATTTTTGATATGTTTTTAATTATTTGCGCCATAAAGTCTTCGCGCCAGAATGTACCTTCGCCAAATAGGCTTTGCGCCAGAAGCGGTCTGCGTCACAACGGACCTGCGCCAGTACGGCCGCGCCAAATCGGTCGCGTCAAATCGGTTGCGCCAGAACGTCCTAGACCGTAATTTTTTATATCAATCAAATAATGCCAATATATGTATATTAGGGTGCTTCAAAAAATAAAATTTAATTTTTTTTTCGCTCTTACCCTCTCAAATGTTTCTATTTAATATAAAAAAATCCTCACCAAATATGGGCGTTCCAGCCCAACTCTAAGAGGTCGCTGTTTTTATTTTAGTTTCCCATTTAATTAACATGGGAAAAATAATTTTATGTTTGGAATTTTATACCTCTGTATCAAAGTAACTTATGGTAATGATCATTGCAGGTTCTTATATAAAATGTAACGCTCTACTTAAAAGCTCTCTTATTATTTTTCGATAAATTGATTTCTTCTAGAGTTATTCGAGGTCAAAGTTTGATTAGCATCAAATTTTCTGTTTTTTTTTTATTTTATAGTACAATTGGAAGACGTTAGGTGAAAGGGGGCAAAACAAAGCAGCAGGGGGGTCAAAATGGGGTACCCAAAAAATGAGCATATGAAAAGTTTTCCAAAATTGTACCATCCTTTTTCTTGCTCTACAGGCTCAGACTAATTATTTTCGATTAAAAGCGTGAACTTGTGAGTCAATATATTTTCAAATAATTTAGTGACCAAAAAAAACAATCTAAAAAAATTTTTTTCTAAATTTTTTGGGCACCCCAATTTGCCCCCCGCTGCCTTATTTTGCAATGCATATTACGCCGCCATATGCTGCCCCATGCGAAAGAAAATGTACCTTTGTGGTGGCAATTTCAACATAACAACGATCCAATACATACGGCACAATTAGTAAAACTATGGATTGGCCACATAATCTTAACCCTATTAAGAACTAATGGTCCAAATTAATAGGGATTTCAGGTCATGTAATATTTTTATAATAATACATATTAATATTTTAATAATAATAACAACAATAGATATTTTAAGCCCTAAAACCCTAAAGCCTTTTATTGCCATAAACAGGTTTTACTTTTACACGTATATTTATTATAAATGTTTTTAAACTTTTGTGGACTACCTACTTTACACATACATATAATTTAATAAAAATACTAGCTGTCAACCCGAGGGCTCCTCTCCGCTTTATTGTTTTGCATTATGTAAACCTAGGGTTGTGGAATTGACCGGTCAAATTGTTTTTGGTCAATTGACCGGTCAACTGACCAGTCAACTGACCAGTCAATTGACCAAATTAGAATTAAATAAAATATCAAAATAAATATTACTGAGATTACTGTGATAAATAGGTGCGGCTTTAAAAAGTTAGGTTTCGCTATTAAAAAAGATATGTCCCGCTTTAATGGCAAAGCGCCGAGTCCGGCCTAGCAACCCCTCGACTCGGGGAACCACCAAATTGTAAATGATGTCGATATTGCAAGATCGCAAAAATTTTGAGATTCACGGGTAATTAATGATACCGAAATAAAAGGCTGCAAAAATTAAATATACTTTGACCGGTCAATTGACCGGTCGATTGACCGGTCAAATAGGTAGCGGTCAATTGACCATCCCCAACTTAATGTAAACCTGAAATAGATTGGAACATAAAATGAGATTTTAAGGTGCAATTTAAAAATCCAATTAACTTCATGGATTTCCCAACTTCTGGGAATTTTTGGAAATGGTCAAATGTAAATGTAAAAATTTCTTAACCCTTTACATAAAACATGTAATTTAAAGCTGATTTTGTCAAATCTCAAATGAAAAGCTGTTAAGTAAAGTAAAAAAATTAACAGTCTATAAAGACTACCCAAAAATTGTAATTTAAAAATCACTATCACAATATATTAAATTATTGGATATCTTACAGGGTTGCCACTTATCTGGAAAACCTGGAAATGTCAGGAAAATAAAAATTTTTAGAAATGTTAGGGACTTGGCAAAAAAATCTATAAAGTCAGGGAATTCCTAAGTCGGTCAGGGAATTGGTTATTTATAAATAAAATTGGTCAACAAAATTTTCATTAAAAAAAAATTATGTTAACGAGTGTAAGTTAAATTTAATTTATTCAAAATATGGCAGCGCTATATGTCAAACTTATCACTATAGACTTCTAAGGTTATATATAACCTTAGAAGTCTATATCACGACTTATCACTATAACCTTCTAAGACTATAACCAACTATTTTTATGTTTAGGGTGATTAATATTTGTTTATTTGTAAATGGTAAGCATAATGAATAAACTAATTAATTAATCAGTAAAAGCATAATTAATAAATTAATTAATTAATCAGTAATAGACTTTGAAAAATCATAGTTCCTGTTGATAAAAAACCGTTTCAAGCCAAATGTTTCATTTGCAAGCAGTCATAGGCCACATAAAAAGTGCGGGCCATTAAAAAATTTGTCAAATTTTCTTAAAAGAAAAGATCCAGATGAAAAATACTACTCTCTAAAAATAAATTAGTTAAAAATGACTAATTGTCATAGCGAAAAAGCAGCCACTAATAATTCTAGTCAACAGCAATTTGTATCCCGGATATTTAGCAGTCAATTCCTATGTAAAATTGTCTGCTGAATCCGAATATAGGTATAGACACACATTTCCGCACCGTGCCCGTCACGAGTGTCGGCCGAGTGTTGGTCTCGTTACGGCTCGGTCCCATTGGATCCACACTTGTCCGTGTTTACGCCGCGCCGCACAGTGGTCTGAGAGGAAAATTTACGCGGCAAAAATCCATTTTTTAAAACACTTTATTAACGCATTTTGATGCCTCTTTATTGTTCGTGAAAGATTATTACCTAAGATTTTAAACTGCGAAGTAGAATTTACTGCGTATGCGTTGCGTTATAACAAATACATGAGAAGATTATCAAAAATACTCTTACTTTCGGAATCTTGTCTTTTTCGTGTAAAAAAGGTGTTGCGTAAATATAGTAGTGAAAATTAGTGTTAAAAATTTATAGTAGGGATAAAGTTGAGTACAAATACAACTTTTAAATGTCTTTTTTGGATTTTTTGACAAAAATATAGCGTTTTTTAACCTACAAATTCTCAAGTTTTGTAATTACAAATAATAAATAGAATATAAGTAAAAATTTATAATTACTTGCCCAGAACCACATAGTGCATTCGAAAATATGAACCTCCATTTCTGACTATAAAAATTCATCTGCCTTTATGCGCCTATAAGAGAGTTATGCAAAATTGAAAAATGGCCTACAAATTACAGCTAACCTGGTCATAAAAGTAATATATTTTTTAAATTTGACAATAATTATTGCATTTAAGAATGGTAATACAATTTTCTTTACTCTTATTACATAATAGTATTTTTTATATATACTTTGTATACCTATAGGTATATTATACAGTGCCCACGGATGGTAATGACTATAGAAAAAAACTTTTTTATTAGGTATGATAAGAAAAAAAACATGTTATTTAAAAACTCTTGCTTGTTTCAAAAATAAGATTCCTACAAAAACATTTTGAATTAAATGTTCAGGGTGCTCAGAAACTAAAAAAAAAAACAAAAA